ATCTGACTAGGTGAAAACTATTATTAGCTTCATTGGAAAGACAGGAAACTGAGGCACAGAGAGGTTGAGAAAATTGCCCAGAGTCACATAGCCCATAGACAGCGAACCTGGGTTTGGAAGCCTGGCTTATCTATCAGGGCAAAGACTTGTTTTGTTCACTGCTTCATCTCCGGTTCCTGGCCCGCGGAAGTTACTCAAGAAATATTTGTGGGAGGAATTAAGGCCTGAGCTTTTCCTGCTCCCTCCATCGCTCTTCGACAGCTAGGTAGGTTCTGACTCATTTATCATCAGGCTGTGCCCATCACCGGCTCCTGCAGGAGGCAGCCACCTCGGTCTCTGACCACACCCCATCACTGTAGCCCCGCCTTCCTCGGATGGCCCCACCCCCAATGCCCAGGCCCGGCTCACCGCTCCTCACCCTCCCGCTCCAGCGCACACCCACCTGGGCACGTTGATCTCTCGGTGAGCCCTGGGCGCCCGCGACGCCTTGCTGAAGGCCACTTTGGCGCCGACGCCCACGGCCAGGGCAAAGCTGATGACACCACACACCACATAGGCAGTGCTGCCCCCAGGGCCTTCGCCCCCGCGGCCCCCAGGTCCTCCTGCCCGGCCCCCTTCCAGCCACCCGGCCTGGCCGGGTCCTGGCCCCCCGCCCACACCCCCAGCGCCCCCGGCACCCCCAGCTAGCGGCGGAGGCGTGGTGGCCCAGCGGGGCGTGTCGTAGTTGGAGCAGGAGGCCTGCGCCAGGCGCATGTGGCGGTGCTCACAGCAGAAACGGTAGTGGCAGGTGCCGCAGCAGAAGCGGTAAGAGCCGGTGCTGCAGTTGAAGGTGGCGTCGTACTGGCCCATGACATCGTAGTAACCGTGGCAGAGCTCGGCGGGAGGGGGCGCCCGCGCAGCAGCGCCCGCCCCGCCTGAGGGGCTCGTTCTGGTGCCGTTAGCGCCCGGGCCCGCCGTGCCACCGCCGCCAGTCAGCGCCCCAGTCAGGCGCCGCAGGTGTGCCAGCAGGGCGGGCAGCGGGCCCGGCGGCTCGGCGCTTGTGGTGTTGGACGGGCGCGCCCCGGCTTGACCCGAGGTGACCGCCAGGAGCGCGAGGAGCAGGAGGGCCGGCATGGGGCGTGCAGGAGGTCGGACCCGACAGCCAGGCTGCAGAGTTCGGAGAGGTGGGCGGGAGAGAGATGGCTAGAAGGGAAGAGACGCTCCAAGGGGTGGGCGGAGAGGCCGAGGAAGGCGGGCTGAGGGAAGGTAGAGGGCGGAGAGCGACAGCAAGGATGCGGCTGCGTGGGCCAGAGCTGGCCGCCCCATGAGGCGGTGGAGGGCGGCGGTGGGAGAGCGGGGAAGCGCGCCCGGACGCGGCCGAAGGAGAAGAGAGATGATAATGGGTGGACAGAGAAGGGATCGCAAGGAGTGATGAATGGGGGAAAAGAGATGGGGAGGATCGACGAGACATAGGGGCGTGTGCAGAAATTAGAGGGGAGGACAAAAAGCAGATAGGCGTGAAGGTAGGCGAAGGAACCGGTGCGGGAGGGGAGGTGGGATGGGGCAGTGGGGGCGGGGAGGGCAGGAAGGGAAACAGATGAGGGGTGGGTGGGAGAAGGGAGAAAAGAAAGGGAGCGAGGGAGGGAGGGAGAGAGAGATTCAAGTTGAGAATTTGAGTTTACAGACCAGGCAGCTGGGAAGCATCCTACTCTTTCGAGAGCCTGCCTTGTGCACCAGAGGATGTTTAGCAGGATTCTAGCAGACGTCAGGAGCGTCCACTTTCCCCCAGGCTGCGACAGCATAAGCTATCTCCAGGCACCAGCAAATGTTACTTTGGTGGGACAGACACAAGTACCCCCTTCTGTCCCCCCAGGGCCCATTTCTTTATTCAGGTCTAGTAATCAAGGGACATCAGATCTCTCTCACACACCCCACACTCTTACAGTCAGGTGTGAGAGTCTCCATCCCCAGGTGATGAGGCACTGTAGCAGAGTGGCTTATCTTCTAGCTGCCTGACACGGACAGGCTCTTAGCTAAGCCTCCCGCACCTCAGTTTCCCCTATCTGTAAAATGGGGTAAGGATGCTTATCCTTATCACCAGTGGTCAGGTGATTATGTGTAAAGAGCTTAGAACAGGGCCTAGTATATTGTAGGTGGAATGTACAAGGTGTCCAAAAAGTTGCTTCTAAAGTCACCATACAGGCTCTGCACCTGTGGCTCAAGTGACTAAGGCGCCAGCCACATACACCTAAGGTGGAAGGTTTGAATTCAGCCCAGGCCACCAAAACAGCAATGACGGCTGCAACCAAAAAATAGCTGGGCTTTGTGGTGGGTGCCTGTGGTCCCAGCTACTTGGGAGGCTGAG